GAGAGGGAGCAGGGAGAGGCGAGGCAGGCGGTAACTGTGACTGCGGCTGGACAGGCGGAGGACACTCTACGGAGGGAGGAGGACAAGGAGGAGGAGCCTGCCCAAGAACCTGCTGAAGGAGCGGTACGAAGTACGGTCGCGGCCGCGCAGCGTCTCCAGAAGCAGACGGGACTCCAGCGGCCGGGTCCTCAGCACCAGTAGCAGCTCCACCGTCCGACTCCTCAGCACCAGCAGCAGCTCCACCAGGTGGGTCCGCAGCACCAGCCGCAGCGCCACCCCCAGAGTCGGCAGCTCCAACTCCGCTAGCACCGCCAGCGCCAGAGTCCCCAGCTCCAGCAGCTCCAGTCACAGTGCTCCCAGAACAGCCAGTCCCGGCAGCTCCAGTACCCCCAGTACGAGCACCCCCAGGACGAGCAGCTCCAGCACCCCAAACTCCAGCCGAGCCACTAGGACGGCGAAAGCGTCGGACGTACCAGTCGCGAAGCTGCTGCGGTGTGAGAGACTGCTCAGCACCCCGAACCGGAGCACCCCCAGACGCAGTAACCCGAGGCTCCGTAGGCTCAGTAGCAGCACCCCCAGGCTCAGTACCCGCAGGCTCAGTACCCGCAGGCTCAGCACCCCCAGTCGCAGCACCCCCAGGCGGCAAACTCTCAGGCACAGTACCCTCAGCTCCAGCACCCGCAGTCCCAGCACTCCCAGGCCCCGCACCCGCAGACTCAGCACCCCCAGGCTCCATACTCTCAGGCACCGTACCCTCAACTCCAGCACCCTCAGTCCCAGCACCTGCAGCCCCAGCACCCCCAGGCCCAGCACCCCCAGGCTCAGCACCCCCAGGCTCAGCACTCCCAGCAGCACCACCCGCAGCAGCACCTGAGTCACCTGTGACCTCGACAGGCTCAGCGACGGGAGGAGGGTCTACCTGAGAGACACCTGAAGGAGCAGGACCCTGAGGGGGAAGGGGGTCTACCGGAGGGGGACCAGGAGCAAGGAAAAGCGGCGGGGGAGGGAGGGGGGCAGTGCGGTAGGGGAAGAGACGGTAAAAAGGGACCGACTCGTCAAAGGTGACATCCTGAGAGGCGAAGACCCGGCGCGAGGTGGGGTGGTAAAACTGCCAGCCAGGCGCGTCAGGGACAAAGCCAAGGAAGACACAGGGAAGCGTGCGGGAGGAGAGCTTGTCCGCAGACGTATCGCGGACAAGGGCACGAGCACCCCACACCCGGAAGCGCGACGCATCGCCAACCTCCCCCGTCCAACGCAGTGTGGGCGAGGTCTCCGGCAAGGAGACACGGGGCCAGAGGTTGAGCTGATGCGCGGCGTACCGGACAGCAAACGGCCACAGAAAATGGGGAGCCGCCGCGTGGACCAAGGAGGTACGAGCGACCTCCATGACCAGGCCAATGCGGCGCTCAGCAACCCCATTCTGCTGTGGGGAGTCCGGAAGCGTGAAGGTCTGCTCGATGCCCTCCGCCTGACAGAAGGTCCTCAAGAGATCGGAGGAAAACTCACCACCTCTGTCAGAGTGCAGACGCAGGACAGGAAGATCCGTCCGGAAACGGCGGCGGAGCTGGAGATGAACCGTGCGGATCCAACGGATCAGAACAGCAGGGACCTCACCCTTGGTGCGCAAGGGGAAGACCGTGGTGTAACGCGAGTAGTCGTCGACAACCAGCAAAAAGTACCGCTCACCGCCCCACACGTCCAGGTGGAGGGTCTGCAGAGGAGCCTCTGTCGGGGGGAACGAGGAGGAGTGAGGAGCGGCGCGCTGCCGCCCCTCGACGCAAGGAAGGCAAGGCGGCGCAGGCGAGGCAGGGAGGGGAGGGAGGGACCTGGGAAGACCGGACACAAGGAGGCGACGGTGCATGCCACGAAGGCGTGGCAAGGAGGGGTGACCCAGGCGGTGGTGCCAGAGAAGAGTCTGGTGCGACAGGGAACGACACTCACAGGCGTGGGCCACCAGACCTGACGCAGACACCTGACCGACAGCAGCTACCTGGGGAGACGCAGTGGTCAGTGTGTAGAGACTCGACCCCGGCTGACGGGTGAACGTAGCCAGGTGACGGCCGGTCCTGGAGCACGTGCAGATCGCCACACGCTGTCCGCCAGGGGTAAAGGTGTCAACCCACTGATCCTGGAGGACAGCGTTGCTCACCAGGTTCGTCGAGAACGAGGGGAGGTGGAAACCCGACAACGAGCCAGACGGAACCGCCGGACAAGGGAGGACAGTGGTGGACTGGGCAAGGACTGGGCCCCCAGAGGGGTCAGCCAAGGAGACTAGGACCGGTGCAGGAAGCGGTGTGAGCTCAGTACTGTCACGGAAGAAGCAACGGGAAGCACCTGAGTCAAGGGTGAAGGTGTGACAGGCCTCAGCCGGTGCGGTACCTGAGAGAGGAGTCTCTGTGGGTGCTGTACCTGAGAGAGCAGACTCGAAACCAGCCGGGACAGCACTGGGGGGAGCAAGTACAGGGGGCACCATACCAGAGAGAGCAGACTCACTAGTACCCAGGGCAGCGGGCTCTATACCTGGGTCAGGCGGCACACACAAGTAACAGTCTCCCTCGGCACTAACAGTCAATGCATACATGGCAGCAATAATAGCATCATAGTCAAGAGCAAAGACATCAACACCAGCCCTCATGAGCTCAGCCCAGCGGGGGCGCTCAACATCCGCACCCATCTCCTCACGCCAAGCGTCATCAAGGCGGGAGAAGCAGCGGTACGGGGTGTGGAACCTCCCACACGTCTGTCCCTTGCGGTCACCTGTGCGAATGACATAAGAACAGCGGGCACTGGCCCCCGACGTCCCACGCTGAGCAAGCCACTCACGAAGCTGCTGGGTCGTCTGGGGACGCTGCTGCTGCTGGGAGCTCTGGCCCGAGCCAGTGCCTCCACTCCGACCTCCGCCGCCACCACTACCACCGCTCCGACCGGCACCGCCACCACCGCCACCACCGCCACCACCGCCGCCGCCGCCACCGCCACTACTGCCACTGCTTTCCTCCGCCGCCCCCGTCTCCACCACCGACCCCACTCCCACCAGCGCTCCCGCCACCGCTCCCTCCAGCACCGCCTCCCCCCCCACCTCCCCCACCTCCTCCCCCCCCAGCGCCACCACCACCACTTTTGCCCCCCTTGCCCTTGCCGGTGCGGCGCCTCCCACCAGGAGTAGAAGCAGCGCCAACAGACTCAGCACCAAGGAAGTCAACAGCAGCAGCAGCAGCGTAGGAGGGAGCGAGGGGAGAGGGAGAACACCCCTCAAAGATGGGGGTGCGAGGAGCGCCACGAGCAGCACCGACAGCTACAATGCTCTTTTCGGCCGCGAGCAGGTGCTCCTCTAGGAGGGCGACTGTGAGCTCAGTGGGACAGCGAGCAAGGAAGTGGTCTCGAACTGAGCGGAGGGTGTCAGGGAGACGGGTGACTATGAAGTGGAGTGTCCAGTACAGTGGAGGGGGGTTCTTAGCGCAGAACTCGGTGGGAAGGGCGGCACGCAGGCGAGCATCACTAGTGCGAAGGTGGGTGATAAGATCGGCGACTGTAGCAAAGGTGGACAGATCGGGGAACAGGTACGGCAGCATGAGGCGGCTAAGCTCGGCTGTGGCAGGCGAGGAGTAGCGAGCGACGACAGCGTCGTACAGGGCCTTAGCGGATTTGCAGTCGCCAAAATGCTCTAGCTCAGCTAACGGCAGGTGACTGCGAATGGCTAGGCGAGCAGCTGCGTCACGAGTCTGCCAGTGGGAACGAACACTAAGCTCAGCTGTGGCAGGAGGGGCAGGCGCAGCACCAGACGCGTAATCATAGAGCGACACATGCTCCTTGCTATCGCTCAGGAGGAACAGCTGCAGGTCATCTAGCCAAGCGGTGAACCGCACAGGGCGGCCCTCAGCATCGAACGACAGCACGCGGATGGAAGCCATAGCGACAGTGTGACAGAGTAACGCAAGCTGCCGCAGCAGGGGAAGGCGACTGTGCACGGATAGAGAGCAGCGGGCGAGGCTGGCGCTACGGGCAGGCGGCGCTGCAAGCGGTCAGCGCGACGGGAGGGCGACGCTGCGAGCGGGCAGCGCGGCGGACGGGCCGGGAAGCGGGCAGCGCGGCGGGCAGGCGGCGCTGCAAGCGGGCAGCACGGCGGGCGGGCGACGCTGCGAGGCGGGCGGGCCGCGAAGCGGGCAGCGGGCGGGCGGGCGGGCTGCGAAGCGGGCAGCGGGGCGAGCGGGCTGCGATGCGGGCGGGCCGCGAAGTGGGCAGCTAGCGGGCGGGCGGGCTGCGAAGTGGGCGGGCCGCGAAGCGGGCAGCGGGGCGAGCGGGCTGCGAGGCGGGCGGGCCGCGAAGCGGGCAGCGAGCGGGCGGGCGGGCTGCGAAGTGGGCGGGCCGCGAAGCGGGCAGCGAGCGAGCGGGCTGCGAAGCGGGCGGGCCGCGAAGCGGGCAGCGAGCGGGCGGGCGGGCTGCGTAGTGAGCGGGCCGCGAAGCGGGCAGCGAGCGGGCGGGCGGGCTGCGAGCGGGCGGCTCGGCGAGGGGCGCGCGAGGGCGCTAGTGAGGGGCGCGCGAGGGCGCTAGCAAGGGGCGCGCGAGGGCGCTAACGAAGGGGCGCGCGAGGGCGCTAACGAAGGGGCGCGCGAGGGCGCTAACGAGGGTGCGCGCGAGGGCGCTAACGAGGGGCGCGCGAGGGCGCTAACGAGGGCGCACGAGGGCGCTACGAGGCTAGGGCACGGGGTAGCGTGGTAACCGCATGCGAGCGGTGGTGGGCCCTTAAAAAACGGTCGGTAGGTCCTAGGGACCTCCTGCTCTGAATACCATATCAGAATCACTAGGCAAGAATGATGAACTAGCAGAAGTTTGGGTACAAATATGAAACCCTAGTTGGGGTTGTACCCCATATTGGCTACCCCACTACAGCCTACAAGCATAATACAGTTTAACACCCTTCTCGCCGCCTGGATGGGTGGGTGGCTGAGACACTTACAAGAGAATGGTCAGAACAGGAGGTTAAGAATGCTTGTGCAGCAATGGCGCGGAACAAGTCACCAGGCAGTGACGGCTTACCCAAGGAGCTATTTGAGGCGCATTGGGACCTGCTGGGGGAAAGCTTCATGGCTATGGCAAAGGATTTTGAGGGTACCGCTGCGCTGCCGGCTGAGATCAAGGAGGCGGTGACGATTTTGCTGCACAAGAAAGGCGACAAGGAGCAGCTAAACAACTACCGGCCGATCACGCTGCTGAACTTCGCGTACAAGGTGCTTGCTCGGGTTGTCGCGGATCGGATGAAGTCGGTTCTGCACATGGTTATCTCACCGGAGCAGTACGGCTTCATTCCTGGAAGGCGTTTGTCAGACGCGGTCGCCTTGGTGGCTGATATAATCGAGGGGGCGAAGAACGATAAGGGCGATTGCTATATGCTCCTGGTGGATTTTCAGAAAGCCTTTGACTCGGTCTCGAGGGACTTTCTGTTCCAGGTGCTGGAGTCCATGGGCTTTCCGGAGCAGTTTGTTGGATGGATTAAAGGCCTGCACGAGGATACAACAACGAAGCTATTAATAAATGGCTGGCTCGGTGAAGGCGTGGATGTGGTGTCGGGGGTGAGACAGGGCTGCCCCTGGCGCCCTACCTCTTCTGTGTGCTGTGGAGCCGCTGGCTCTGGAGGTGGAACGGAAGGAGCTTGGTCTGGAGAAGGATGGGCACCGGCTAGGATATCTTGGTTACGCGGATGATACGACGCTGGTCCTGCAAGGGGAAGCGCAAATTGGACAGGCAGAGGAAATTCTGGATCGCTTTGAAATGGTTTCGGGGTTGACGACAAACAAAGATAAGTCGGTGGTCTTACCTTTGGGCGCTAACATCGGCGCAATTGGGGGAGGCAGCTTCAAGTGGGCTAGAGCGGACGAAGCAGAGAGGTTGCTAGGCATTTGGGTGACGCCGCCTGGAAGTGGCAGGCCGACTTGGGAGAAGGCGTGGAGCTGTATCTCGGAGAAACTCACCAAGTGGCAGCTGAAATACCTGACAATCACAGCGAGAGCAACGGTGGTCAATTTCTACATCACGACGATCCTTGCTTTTCAGGCTCAGATCTTCCCGCCGCCAGCGGATATCTGGCTGGAAATCATGCGGCTGATACACAGCTTTACCTCGGGTAACAGAGTGGCGACGGCAAAAGGCTTCGCACTTTGGAGCAGAGAGTTGCTGTTTACCCCGAGGCTGGACGGAGGCATTGGTGTCAGGGACCCAGAAATCCTCATCACCTGCTTGGCGGCAAGGAGGGTGGGGCTTTTCATAACGGAGAAAAATCCACTCAAGAGAGATCTCATGGAACGGGCCGCGAAGCTTCCGTTGGGGTTGGACTCGTTCACTGCCCACAAAAAACTGTTGAAGCACTGGGAGAATGGCAGCGCTTGGTGGAAACAGACGGTGGAGAGTTTCATGCGCTCCCCTTTCTCTGTCAAGAACCTGGTGGGGAGCAGGGAGGAGGTGCTTCGGGAGAGATTGGCCTTTAATGCTGACATACTTCTCAACGGCACCACTAATCCGCTGGGGGGGCAGAAAGATGCTCAGGTTTGACAGAACTTAGGGTCGGAGATCTGCTCGAAGGGGAGGAGAACGGCGCGGTGTTAGTAAAATCCATGGAAGTATTAAAGCAGGAACTCGGCGGTAACGGGCCTGCGAAGCTGGCGATGAGGGCGTTGCTGGCTCTCCCGTCTCACTGGCACAGATTGCTCGGATTTCCAGCAGTGCCTCCGCAGTCGGCTGGATTATCCTCACGGGTACCAATTCTGGAAGGGGAGCGGGTAATCTCCATGAAACTGATGAAGGAGGGTTGGAAGGGGACATACAGCCAGTCGTACAAGCAGCAAAAGTGGGCTTCACGGTGGGGGAATCACATCGACTGGAAGCAGGTGGTGATAACCAGGGACTCCCTGGCTATTCCTAGCCGTCCAAGGGACGTCCTGATAAGGATCCACGGTCTAAACCTTCAGGTGGGGGAAAGACTGGCTTTCCTCAGCAGTAAGCCTACCTGCCCGCACTGTGGGGAGCAGGAAACCCTGGAGCACTGCCTCGTTCTCTGCCCCAGGATACAGGTGGTGACCTCGGCTCTCCGACGTGCCCTGCGCATGCTAAATCCCAACCGACCATCAGCTTCGCTGGGCGATCTACTGTTTCGGAAAACGGGTACCAGGTCAGCTTTTCCGGAGCTGACCCTCACGTCAGTGGTGCTGCATCAAGTCTGGGTGGAAAGATGTGAAGCAGTTTTTCGGGGGCAGAAGTTTCGGCCACAGCGTGTCCTTTGGAGGGCGGAGTCAGCTTTTAGGCTACACGCGAGAATCTATATGCGCAAAATGGGGGCAGCTCGGAAGAAACGATTGCAGGAAAATTTCGCGGAGGAAAAGAGGATGCTGAGCAGGATCATGCTGGATGGCAAGGGTTGGACGTGGACAAGTGCGTTTGCTGCGCTGTGGTCCAAGAGGAGGGCATGCAGCAACTCGCCTTAGACAACTCACCTGGAACAGTAATTTATTTTACTGTTGCCTCACGCACGGTTACGACCGTTTGATGGTGTATGCTTGTGCTCTGGTATATACTAATCAATATTAAAAAAAAATATCAATTTGCTCGCCACAAACGAGTAACGGAGCACATTCAGTATGCGCAACTTCTCTGATTCAGATACAACTAGATTTTGGAATGGAAGGTGGAGGTAAAAATTCGAGGCAATTTTTAGGCAGAGAAATTAGCATCAAAATACTAGTCTGGCGAAATTCGGCAGCGAGCTTCGTATTAGCTTTCGCTTATCAACTCTACTACCCTCCTATTTGTGTCTCTAGTTCGTCGCCTCTAGCAGAGTCGCCTTTTAACTCTTCCATGAATAGTGGTGCGCGGTAGCGTCACTCAATCAAAGTTATAATTTCTTCTTCCGTAACAGGTCCCCCTCGACTGCGCGCCGTACGCCTTGTTCCACCCCTTTCCGCCTGACGCTGCCATGCATATTGCCTGGACTTCCGCCGCGAAAAACGCAAAGAAACGAAAGCGAATCGCCAAGGGCGGCGAGGCCGTTCTCCGCGCATTCGAGGATTCAGATGACGTGGCAGCAGCACCTCCGATTGATGACGTGGCCGTCGCTGACGAGGCGCGCGAAGATTTCGCCACGTGTACCCCAGGCGAGATGGAACCTAGGAGAAAGACGAGAGTTGAGGAGACAGCGCAGCTCCAGCAGAGGGGAAACGCCTTGGCACAGGTGCGTGAGGGACACGTGGGGGGCGCGTGTGACCACGTGGAAGGCACGTGTTTATTCCTCAGGTTTTTTTCCACCTCCTTTCCACTCGCTTCCGCCTCCCAACAGACCCGCTTGTGCTCCCACCCTGATCTCTCTCTCCTTCTCCTCCCCTTGCATCCCCCTTGCTCCCTTATACCCCTCCCCTGCGCATTCCCTCAGAGAGGAGAGTTTTCCGCTGCTATTGCCGCGTGGGACGCTGCCATTGGCTTATCTCCGCTGCCACGTCAGCGCGCGGTGCTGTTCGAGCAGAAGGCGCAGGTGCTGATGGAGATGGGGCGGCTGTGGGAGGCCGTTCGAGCTGGCACATGTAATCATTGCGCTAATGATTGCTCCAGTGATTGCAACGTGATATTAGGTGGCATGGCATGTGTTACGACTGCAGAACGATAGGTGCCAATGCGCCCTCCTACCCAACCATTTGGGGAAGAGATGGCACATGTGTACCAAACAAACCTTGCCACGTGTGCCAGACTCTAGTTCCTGGCGCGTGTGATCTGACTGTGAGTGCGTGTCGCGGGTTACCCCAGGTTAACGCTCCCAAACATCAGGGTGTGATCGAGGAGATTGACCGCATTCTCCTCCTCTCATCCGCTGCAGGTGCCACGCAGATCACCCCCGACTGGCACGATGCGTGGTTGACACTCGCACGAGCTCAGCTTAATTTCGGAGAGCCCCACCTCGCCCAGGCCTCCTTCTCCCGCGCACTCACGCTACAGGTGCGCTCACCTGCTCCCTTCGCTTCGCCCCTCTCATCCCCCCTCTCACCTTGCTCAAGCCTCCTTCTCCCGCGCACTCACACTACAGGTGCGCTCACCTGCCCCCTTGGCCCGTCTCATCTCCCCCTCACCTCGCTTAAGCCTCCTTCTCCCGCGCGCTGCTGCTACAGGTCCTCACCTCCCTTCGCCTTACTCCCTCCCTTCGACCCCCTCGCCCCCCTCGCCCCCCTTCGGCCCCCTTCGCCCCCCTCGCCCCCCTCGCCTCCCTCTCTCCCTCTCTCCCCTGAATCCCCAGCGTTCGAGCCTCATGGCCACACACACCCTCTCCATCCGCTTGCCACCCTCTCCATCCGCTTGCCACCCTCACCCCGTGCATTGTCCGCTTTCGCCATCCCCACCACTCCCTTTCGCCATCCCCACCTCTCCCTTTCGCCATCCCCACCTCCCTTTCACCATCCCCACCTCTCCCTTTCGCCATCCCCACCTCTCCCTTTCACCATCCCCACCTCTCCCTTTCACCATCCCCACCTCTCCCTTTCGCCATCCCCACCTCTCCCTTTCGCCATCCCCACCTCTCCCTTTCGCCATCCCCACCGCTCCCTTTCACCATCCCCACCTCTCCCTTTCACCATCCCCACCTCTCCCTTTCACCATCCCCACCTCTCCCTTTCGCCATCCCCACCTCTCCCTTTCACCATCCCCACCTCTCCCTTTCACCATCCCCACCTCTCCCTTTCACCATCCCCACCTCTCCCTTTCACCATCCCCACCTCTCCCTTTCACCATCCCCACCTCTCCCTTTCACCATCCCCACCTCTCCCTTTCACCATCCCCACCTCTCCCTTTCACCATCCCCACCTCTCCCTTTCACCATCCCCACCTCTCCCTTTCACCATCCCCACCTCTCCCTTTCACCATCCCGACCTCTCCCTTTCACCGTCCCCACCTCTCCCTTTCGCCATCCCCACCTCTCCCTTTCACCATCCCCACCTCTCCCTTTCACCATCCCCACCTCTCCCTTTCACCATCCCCACCTCTCCCTTTCGCCATCCCCACCTCTCCCTTTCACCATCCCCACCTCTCCCTTTCGCCATCCCCACCTCTCCCTTTCACCATCCCCACCTCTCCCTTTCACCATCCCCACCTCTCCCTTTCACCATCCCCACCTCTCCCTTTCACCATCCCCACCTCTCCCTTTCACCATCCCCACCTCTCCCTTTCACCATCCCCACCTCTCCCTTTCACCATCCCCACCTCTCCCTTTCACCATCCCCACCTCTCCCTTTCACCATCCCCACCTCTCCCTTTCGCCATCCCCACCTCTCCCTTTCACCATCCCCACCTCTCCCTCCTCCTAAAAGCCCCTGTTGTATCCCCTTCACTCTCTCTGCTCATTTCATTACTTCCGTTCCATGTCCCCCCTATCCTCCCCCCGCTGTGCTCATCCCCCCTGCCAGCCTGGCAGCAACGAGACACAGCAGGAGTTCAGGGAAGCTTCGCGATTGGCTGTGAGGCAGCGCCAGCTGGCAGCAGCGGCTGACAGGGATGGTGAGATGCTGACACATGTTGAAGAGGGGTTTTTGAGGGAGGGGCCTGAGGGTAGGGAACGGCAGGAGCATGAGCAGCAGCATCAGCAACAGGAGGAGGAGGGGCAGCAGCAGCAGCAGCAGCAGCAAGGGGAGCAGCGACAACAGCAGAAGCTGCAGCAGCAACAGCAGGAGCAAAAGGAGCAACAACAACACCAGGAGCAGCAGCAGTGAGCAGGCGAGAGAGGGGAGTTGGGGTGAGTGATGAAAGCAATGGGAGTTGGGGTGAGTGATGAAAGCAATGGGCTCACAGAAGCAACTAGTGCTGCCGCTCCTGTTGAAGTTGCTGCTGCCGCTGTTGGTGCTGGTGGCGCGACTGGTGAATCATGATGCTGCCACTAGGTGAATATTGAGCCGACTCATAAGTCACCTTGTTGCAATGGCATGCAACTAATGCTGCCGCTCCTGTTGATGTTGCTGCTGCCGCTGTTGGTGCTGGTGGGGCGACTGGTGAATCATGACGCTGCCACTAGGTGAATATTGAGGCGACTCATAAGTCACCTTGTTGCAATTGCATGCAACTAATGCTGCCGCTCCTGTTGATGTTGCCGATGCTGCTGTTGGTGCTGGTGGGGCGACTGGTGAATCGTGACGCTGCCACTAGTGTTTGCGACGTTGCACTTCCCTCCCACTTGTAGGGGGTATTCCCGATTCTGATTGTCTCACGTAATGTCAGTGGCATTTCCTGGCTTCGTGTCATGTGCAGTTTGTGTCATCCGCAACTCACGCATTCCCATGACTCGCAGGTTTTCTCATCCTGGTTTGGTATGCTCTACACATTGTGCGCAAGTTTGGTACCATAGCTGTTGCTTGAATACGAGTTTCTGTAGGCAACAGTTTTGGCTACTGTGCAACCGCAACCCTGAAAACACTCCTTATTAATGTACATGCGTACATTCTCCCATATTAATGTACATGCTTACATTCTCCTATATTAATGTACATGCTTACATTCTCCCATCAGCAAGGCAATAGAGGAGCAAAGCATAAGCATCAGTGTGATAAAAATGCCAGCCACTGCTGCTGCTGCAGCCTTCGTTGTGGTGGTATTGGCAGGGGAAGCAAGAACACTGGTACTGGTATTAGCAGGGGAAGTTAGAGCATTGGTGTTGGCAGGGGACACTAGAGCAGCGCCAGGAGAGTGGGAAGGTGTGGTGGGTCGGAGCGGTGTTGAGATGGCATCAAGTGGAATGGTTGAGAGAGATGCCTTGGTCCTGAAGTGGGTTGCGGGGTGGGGGGGAGGGGTAGGGGGGAGAGGGGGGCGAGGGGGAAGCGGAAGAAGAGGGGGAAGAGGGCGATGGTGTTGATATGGCATCAACGGGAATGGTTGAGAGAGGTGCCTTGGTGTTGCAGTGGGTTGTGGGGTGGGCCAGAGGGATTGGGGGAAGGACGGGTGGTTTCTTGGCGCTAGAGAGGAGTGGAGTAATATGGAGTGAAGTGGAGCGGACTGGTGTGAGGTGCAGTGGAGTGCGGTAGAGTGGGTTGCAATGGTCACTGGTCAGGCCAGCCATGGAGGACCGTGACAGGATGGTTGCTCCCAAAGCTAAAACCCACGGCTTGTTGGTGGAGTACAGTGGAGTGCGGTGCAGTGGTTTGCACTCACTGGTCAGGGCAGCCCTTGAGGACCGTGACAGGATGGTTGCTCCCAAAGCTGAAAACGCACGGCTTGTTGGTGGGGATGTAGGGGTGGTGCCCCTGCCCACAAACGTAATGCGTGGAAAGGTTGTGTTGGCCGGGGTCGCTGGTGAGTGTGCCATTCTCCATCGCCCCACACACTGTGTAACACGCATGCATCTCTGGACAAGAAACAGGAGGGAAGGGGGAGAATGGGTAGGGCGGGTGGGATGCTCGGAGTGAGTGTGTGTGTGGCGTTATGAGAGAGTGTTTGTTGTTATGAGGGAGAGTGTGTAGCGTTATGAGGGAGAGAGTGTGTGTTATGAGGGAGAGAGTGTGTGTGGTGTTATGAGGGGGACTGTGGTGTTTGGGAACACTGCTAAACGAGGAGGCCATCGCAGGGAGAGCATGCAGTTTGGGTGCGATGTGAAATGAGCATGCAAACCACCCACTGCCTTGCTCGGTGCCAAATCATTACCTGGGGCGTGCGTTGCGGTGTAGTAAACAAGGTATGCCACACACATCTCGTTCTCAGCTGCTGGCCCTCCCACCGTTACCTGCAGGGACAGGTCAGGACAGGACAGGACAGGACAGGTAGCCGTTTGGGAGAGAGTGGGCAGAAAAGAGGACAAGGAGGCAACTTTGTCTCGGAGCTTCTTGAGTTCTGGTTTCATACACAGAGGCCTGGCTCTACGTCCAGTCAGTCCACAAGCAGACACAGTTTGAGGAGTCTTGAAAACTGTTCCCGAGGTTTCCAGTAGTTGTTCCAGCCCAAGATTGGTACCTCGGAGCGAGATGTGGAGTCCCAGACGCAGGTGGTGCGGATCTCATCCCCTGGTAGCAGCTCAAACTCTGGTTGCACCGGCATGGTCTGCTGCGAGGCATAGTCGCTGCCACCCACGCACACAGTTGAGGGTTTAATGAAGGGGAGAAAAGGAGGTGGGGTCACGGGGATGGGGAGGAGAAAGAAAATGGGAGAAAAGATGGAGAGAGGAAAGTAGGGAGGGAAAGAGGAAGGAAGAAAGGAGGGAAAAGTTAAGGTGAAGGAGAGTTTTTGAGACGTCTCAAAAATTCACTTCTTACAAGTGAAGGAGAGTGGTAATGGGCTGGTTTCATGCGAAACGGAGGGTAGGTTTTCCGAAGGGGTGATTGGAGGGAGGGGAGGAGGGGAAGAAGGGATGAAGATTGAAAAGCAGGAAGGTAGAAGGGTTGGCTTGGCAAGTGGTGAACTCACTTGTAGTCAATGCGGTTCAAGGCGGTTCAAGGTGGTTGATGGTTGGGTGGACGGGAGGTGAGGGTAAAGGAGGGCATCAGTTGAGCAGTCATGGCAAAGGGAGTGCTCACTAGTAGTCAATGCGATTGATGGTTGCGACCGTGCTGCCCTCTCTTAGCACTTCCATGTACATCTGAAGGAGGAAACTCGTGCACAGGGATGAGAATTACAGCAAGAAAGGGAGGAAGGAAAAAGACAGAGCGCGAGGGTTCACAAAATTTTCAGAATTTCCCTTTTTTTTTTTAAATGAAGAACAAATAAATATATTTATCAACCGGAAGTTTGTGTGAGTGAGCACCCTACTGATGTGCATGCCACCGCTTTTAGGACGGCGATAAGCACGAAACGGTGATTTCTATCAGCACTTAACTAAGACGTCGCATAAAGCATCCCACCTGGCGTCATCAACTCAAAAAAAAACACACACACACACACACCACACACACACCTGGCGTCCAATGTTGTGCTCGTGTAGGATTGACCCGATGATCTTCACGCTCTCATTCTTAAACACTGCAGCAGTGCACTCGCCCGGGCACGAGTTGGCATGGGTCCACGAGGGCATGCCGGGGGGAATGCGGATGAGCCGGCTGTGGTCCACCATGCCGGCCTTCATGATGTGAGCATCCTTCAAACCCGGCGATGTGGCCAGCTTCAGGTATACTCCGGAGCTGTCGATTATATCGGTGCGACCCTCGGGGTTCGCGTAGTGCATCTGAGGGGTTGGCGTGGAGGGGAGGGGAGTGGTGAGAAAGGAGTGTTGGGGAGTGTTGGGGAGTGTTGGGGAGTGTTGGGAGTGTTGGGAGTGTTGGGAGTGTTGGGAGTGTTGGGAGTGTTGGGGAGTGTTGGGGCGATGGTGTTGATATAAATGAAAGTCTTTGTGTTTGTGCAATGCATTTGAGCGATCGTCACAGAGGGGAAGGGGGGGGGGAGGGATTAAGCAGAGACGCTGGAGTAGACTGTGGGGTGACATGAGTGGGGTGACATCATTCTGCACCGCACAGAACCGCACTGAACCGCACTGCATTGCATAGAACCGCACTGCATCGCACTGCACTCACCTCTAGCACGAACTTGGTGAAGTATCCTGGGCCGATGGGGTAGCCGATGTTGGGGGGGAAGGTGAAGGGGCGCCCTCCCCACGCCCACACAGCCACAAAGGTGCTACAGGGGGCTCTTCCTACACAGTCAAATATCATCCCCGCTGGCAGCAGATCCGGGTACTCTTCCCTGGTGAGAAGGGAGGGACGGGAAGGGGTGAGAAAAGGTGAGAGGAGGTGGGAAGTTGTGAGAGGAAGTGAGGAGAGGTGGGAAGTTGTGAGCTAGGATGTGAGATGAGGTGAAAGGCATGTGCGTGTGTGCGTCGCGACTCACGATGAGCAGCCGTAGAGGAAGGCGTGGTGGAGAGAGGATACTTGAGTGGTGTTGATCACCGGCCCCCACTCCACCGCATGCTCTTTGGTCTCCAGAGGCACATCTATCACCTGACACGCAAGATAATTCGTCAGCAAGAGTATCAAAAGAACATGTAAAGAACATCAGACGACGTCAGACGACGTCAGACGACGTCAGACGACATCAGACGACGTCAGACGACATCAGACGACATCAGACGACATCAGACGACGTCAGACGACGTCAGACGGCATCATGAAAGGATGGCCCGAAACAAGAAGGCCAAGGGGTAATCCGTGACGGGACCACCTTTGGGAATTCTCCAGCACGCGTACTGTGCAGCGGTAGGAGGAGCTGTCAGTGGGCACGGGATAATCCTTCACACTGAACTTAAGCACGCGCGCCTCAGCTGTATTGGGGTGGGACCACCTTTGAGAGCTCGCAAAAACGCGTACCGTGCAGCGGTAGGAGGAGCTGTCAGTGGGCACGGGATAATCCCTGACAGTGAACTTAAGCACGCGCGCCTCAGCTGTGTTTTGAGTCGACTCAAAACGCGCCTCAGCCTGCCCCTCCCGCACTGCTTGCTTCTTTTCGGCCAAACGCCCGGACCCTCGAATCGATTTGAACACAGCAGCAGCAGCAGAAGCGGTTGAGGGCGGTTCTGTGGGTTCGAGAATGGAGGGGCCAGGAGCAGGAACGAGCACCAGGGCGGCACCCCCGCGTGTGGAGCCATGATAGCTGATGTCATCCGTGGGGCCTGTGGCCCAGATGATATTGTGAAGCTTCCCGGAAATGATGGGGCGGTCGTTGCAGTCGCCCGTGTCGAGCAGGCGCCACGCGTGCACGGTGGTCCACGTGTCGCCCGTGGATTGGTTCGTGGTTTGACTGCCGCCCAGCACGTGCCAATCCTGCTTGGCGTCTAGTGTTGGTTCGGTGCTGGTGTTGAAGATGAAGCGATCCGTTGCGTACACGTGGCCCTCTTTTTCCGCCACCCACGCTACGAGCACGTCTGGAACAAAAGTTTTGGATTGACGCAGAGAGAGGGAAAGAGGAAAGAGAACACAGAGAACTGTGCTGTGTTCGAAGTGACTCTCGAACTAAACACAGGTAATCTTGCCAATGTATCTATGATCTCCCACTGCCCCTCCAGCCGATCCCCAGGACTCCGAGGTCCCGCACGATAAAGGCTTTTGGCACACGCCGCGGCCCGCGCGAGAAAACACATTAACGCGAATTTCGAAATACGAGTCGCACCTGAGCCCGCCATGGAGCCGATTTCGGAGATGCCTATAGCGAGCCATCCCGCCGTGTTGGCTCGAACCGCCACTCGTATGGTCGCGTCGCTGTCGTTAACGGTCCAGTGGAGCTCGAGGCGCGGATCTAGCAACGCCACATTGGAGTAGGAGGAGAGCGATGCCGGAAGTGAAATGGCGGCGGTGGTGGCGGCGGCGGCGGCGGCGGAAGGTCGTGTGAAGTTGCTGCTATAAGTGAGAGCCATGGTGAAGAGGAAAATGCACGTGGAGGCTACGCGACGCGAACTTCGCAAACCAAGCGCCATCATCTCGGACAGAAATTCCTTCGCACCTTTTTTTTACCAGTTTCTTTTTCCGCGATGCCACCAGATGAGTGAGGAGTAGATGGCTGTAAGATTCGAATCGGCCCAGGGTTTGAGCAGACGCTGCTTCTAATGAACGATTCGTCATCGAAATATCCAAATCGGTCGTGGGCAAAGTCAAAGCTTCCTAGACTTCAGCTAGCGGTTTGGTGTTTGGACGGGGCAAGCATCAGTGTCGGGAGGGGCACGCAGAAATGTGCAGCCCATGTTGAGGACTAGAATGATCTTTTGGGATTGCGAAGGTGCCACGTGAGATTGTCGTGAGTAGTGGTAACAGGCGTATTTTGGATTCATGCGCTCTTTGCACCTTGATGTCTCCATCCACTTTGACAGGAAACGGCCGTCGCACGTTTGGTTTCATCTACGGTCCAGACTCGACCCACGTAGATGGTGTCAGAGCGGGGCACGGCCCGACTTCGGACATGACGCCTGATTTCGGCTTGCGATGAGCTTCGCCGAAGTCGCCGGACGGTCTGTTTTCGCTTCCAATCATATCGTCGTCTCACCCCGAAGCACGAGGTTCGACGAACGTGTGAGCGAAACGTGTAAACGACAAACTAACACGAAGCGCGCCAAATCCAACAGAAATTGCAGTGCGACACGGTTGTAGATTGAATAGAAGGGCCCCTCCCCATTCCTTGTTACGAAGAATGCGCGGTATCGTCTATAATGAAGCTGCTCTAGTGATCTGCCTATTAAACAATATAGAAAGGAACATAATCAGGCGGGCACCCAGTAATGGGGGGGGGGGGGGGGGGGGGGGGGGGGGGGGGGGGGGGGGGGGGGGGGGGGGGGGGGGGGGGGGGGGGGGGGGTCTCACGCCCTGTAATCATTTTACAAAAATCAGGCAGATAATACAGTTCTGTTACTCTGTACAAGTGCAGTCAGGGAAAAACGCTCGTAAAGCAATGTACAAAAACATGTAAATTCTCCCATAGGCAACCGTTAGAAAACGAATGGGGCAATCATAGAGAAAAGCATAAGCATCAATGTGTTTGAACTGCCGGATGTTGCTGCTGGGGCAGCCTTTTCCCGTGGACTTGGCAGGGGAAGTAATTGCATTGGTATTGGCAGGGAAAGCAACACTGTTGGTATTTGCAGTTGAAGCATCAGCAATGGCAGGCGCCGAGGAGACGTCGCCGGGTTGCAGTGGTGTTGAAATGTCATCAATGAGAATGGTCAACAGAGAAGTTTTTGTCCTGAAGTGGATTGTGGGGTGGGGTGGAGGGCAGGGCCCTAGATATCAGCCTTTTTACGCTGATTCAGCGTCAGATCAGGCTTTTTTTTCAGGGGTATGCTGAATCCAAAGTCTTTTGTTATGTACCTTGGCTGATTTTTCAGTGTTTGTTTGTTTGTTTGTTTGTTTGTTTGTTTTGTCTTTTTTTTTTTTACCTTGGCTGTTTTTCCAGCCTTTTTGTAGGAGTGTAGGCTGTGCACTCAGCCTTGTATAGGTGGTGCACACTGTAACTGGCATTACAGTGTAGGACTAAACGAGAAATCGAAATTTCCCCCGCGCGGCACCACACAATCGTGTTGGTACAGCATATCCGACCAATCGGGGTTGCGCAGCAGGCAGCGTTTGCAAGATTCGTTGGGCTTGACAGGTC